ATAGAGGTGTATAAATGGAAGTCAGGGTTAAACAAAGGGGACATTACAAAGGTACTCAAACTATCCAACCAGGAGCGAACTAGTAACAATGGTTTTAAATTAGACAAATTCAGATTTAGGCGTGAAATAGGTAAACACTGGTTTGGAAACAGAGTAGTGGATGAATGGAACAAGTTACCAACTATCATCATTAACTCGAATACGCTGGATAGCTTCAAACATAGGTTGGATGCCTATATGAGCAATAGGGGTTGGGTATAAACCGGACTGCCCAGTATGGGTCAATAGGCCCGCTGTAGTTTCCCCCAAATCCTATGTTCTTATGTTAGACAGTCAAACCTTGAATATAAGGATCACTGGGGAGGTTGTGATTTTGTAAGCTCCAGAAACCTGTTTTAGGCCCCTGGGGGATACGATAGCGGAGGAGGAAAGGTTAATTGGCGGCGGTCGTTTAAAGCTTATCATGGTAAAAAAGAGTTAAAGGTATGTGTATCTGCCATACTACTGTGTTCCGCTGGTCACCAAGGAACGCTAGTTACTATGTTCCACCGGTCACAGGCTTTGCTAGTTACTACAAATACATACACACACGCCAGAAGTTACAATTTCATTGAGGAAAGGAATGGAACCAGTGTTGAACAGAAGTGAACAGTGGTGAACAGTGCTTAAGTCAGTGAGAACAACTCAACAGTAACAGCAGAGTCGTACCCAAGTTAACCTTCACACAGTGAGGTCCCAGGTACCCAGTGATAACTGCCCGTGAGACCCAACAACAACCAGAGATGTGTTAATCCGTCAACAATAGGAAGGCCTGGGACCACTTTTACTTTAACTTTTACCTTTATCCTCTTCGCCACTAATCGGCTTGGTAGCCGCTTGGGCGATCGGTCACGTCTCTGTCACGCACTGTTGGCAAATACTGGGCATGCACCGGCTCCTGAATGTACCTGAACCCGCTCCAGTGTTGGTCAAGTCTTGTCTTGAAAGAGCTCACACTCGGTGCCGTCACAACACTCTCTGGTAGATTGTTCCAAGAGTTTACAACCCTCACTCCGAAAAAGTTTGCCCTCACAGTTTTCTGGACTTGCGGCTTCTTCATTCTTGAGGTGTGACCCCTTGTGGGGCGAGCATCCGCCAACTCCAAGTAAGGACACTCAACTGAGTAGTGCCCCCTGAGATGCTTATACACCTCAACTGGGTCCCCCCTTGCCCGTCTGTTATATAAGCTAGGCAAGTTCAGGCGCTCCAATCTCTCATGGTAGCTGAGGTGCCGAAGTGCAGGCATCAGTCTGGTGGCCCTCCTTTGAACATTTTCAACCAACTGACAGTCCCTAGCATATCTCGGGGACCAGATGGGGTAACAGTACTCCAGATGGGGAAGCACTTCAATCCTGAAGATCGTTACGAGGGACGGACCGTCTAGATATGTGAACGACCTTCACCTCACTCTTATAACACAATGTGTGAGGGAATTACTACACAGCGTCAGGTCCCTCAAAACACCATCTGTGAGGGAATTACTACACCATGTGAGGTCCCTCATAACACCATCTGTGAGGGAGTTACTACACCACGTGAGGCCCCTCATAACCTCATAACACCATCTATGACGGAATTACTACACCGCGTGAGGTCCCTCATAAAACCATCTGTGAGGGAATTACTACACCACGTCAGGTCCCTCATAATACCATTTTGGAGGGAGTTCCTACACTACGTGTTTGCTGTTCAACACCTACATTAATCTGCATGTTCACTGTATGTTCCCTTACCTTTCTCTAATGAAGGCTTTGGTTAAACCACCAATGTATGTAATAAGTCATTTATGTCCAATGTATATCTTCAGCCTTCGGGCTGCAGATCTTTTTCAATAAACCGTTAATTATTATTATTACTTATTATTATTATTATTATTATTATTATTATTATTATTATTATTATTATTATTATTATTATTATTATTATTATTATTATTATTATTATTATTATTATTATTATTATTATTAATATTGCACACACAAAAAAAAAATTATAAACAAGTCCTTGGTAAATCATGTGTACCGTACCTTCGCCAAGTTCCCAAGACGACGTGAAGTTGAGCAAAATAATTTCAAGGACGTTTGCCCATCAAAATATTTGTTGTAAGTCTCACAATGTTTCGTGGAAAACTGTAAGAGAATTTGTTGTCATAGATTCACAGAGCGATCATCTCAGTGCCTTGTGAGATGGACAGACAGAGAGTTACACCCTGGCGTATGGCAGTTTGCTGAAAGAGGGGGTGGGGGGGTCGTATTCAGTAGTAACCTCTAAATTAGTGTGCGTTTATCTTCCACTTAAAGTTCTTCGAATAAATGTTACACTGTCCACTAGGCAACATTCATATGATAATATTAAGTCATATGAATCTAGTAAGACAAGTAACCTTTCAGGGTTGAGAATCCGCAGTTAACAAGACAGAACACACCCTAACGTTTAGCGCCATCAAGAAGCGGGAAAAAATAGTGGAAATTACTGTTACGACGGCATGGAAAAGCCGAATCCAGGAAAAAAAAGTCACATAAAAAGGCACGGAAAAAACCCAACCTAAGCTAACCTAACCTTACCTAACTTAACCTAACCTACGTGCAATGCCATCATATATATATATATATATATATATATATATATATATATATATATATATATATATATATATATATATATATATATATATATATATATATATATATATATATATTGTGTTGTCAATGTGTACAAGTCATATGACTTTTTTTCCTGTTGACTTTATTTCCGTCCACCGAAAAGCCTCGCTCACCCGGGTGCTGGGCGTGGCAACAGACAAGTCCAGGAAACTCTCACAGCTCCGAGTGTTCCACGGTCTCAAAAATATTAAAATCCTCAATGTAAAAAAAGAAAAAGAGATAGAAGAAACTGTAGGAGTAACTTCAATAAATATAACTGAACAATATCATACAGGGTGATTCAGCAAAGAGTACATTAAATTGGAGGATGAAATCCTCTGGATAATTCTAAACCACCATGTCTATGGAAAAATGTCAGATTCTGCATAGTTTCCATGTTACAATACATTTAAAATGTTGTATTAATGACAGTGAATTTGATGTGAAACCCCCGTAGGTTTTTGTCGTCATTTATTCACAGATGTCTTATGTACAGTAGTACAGCGTGGTACAGATGGCTGACACAGGTGCAATGAGACAGACCGTGTACGACCGAATGTGATAAATACAGTTACGGGGGGGGGGGGTTCACTTCAAATTCACTCTCATTAATACAGCATCTTAAATGTATGTAACATGGACACTAGAATTTGAAATTTTTCCATAGAGACATTGTTGTTTAGAATTATCCAGAGGTTTTCATCCTCCAATTTAATGTACTCTCTGCTGAATCACCCTGTCGACGGGAAGGTTAGCTTGCGGGCTCGTGACCCCAATATCACACGCCCTTACACAAGTTACCAGCCAGTAGGCCGACACACCAAAGATGCACTGTGGCTGAAAATGCGCATCGAACACTGCCGGCTTTGAAGCTGGGTCACTTCTGACGGACGCTTCAGTGAGTAATCAGGTCAACGACGATACTTTCACTGTAATTTTGATCAGTGCCGGATTTAGACCTGTGGAGGCCCATGGGCAGCCTCTTTGTGGAGGCCCCCCTCATTATAACTACCCAAGAGGGTGGGGTGGCGAGTGAAGCGAGCCTAAACATCTGGGAGTTCCGAGGGGCGCTGTAAGCCCCCGGGAAAATTTTGAAATTTGAACACTCCTTTGGAGAATTTTGAAGCCATGTACAGTTATATTGAGGAAATTAGAACATTGAGAAATTTTTAATTAACTGTATATTTATTGATAGTGTACAAATTCCCAACACACACACACACACACAAAAGTGAGACATGACTGGAGTCATCCATGTGGTTTCAAGTCGACCAGCCCTGATATAGCTACTACCGCACATGTGGAGGCCCCCAGATTGTGGAGGCCCCTGGGCAGCTGCCCACTTTGCCCACTCCTGAATCCGGCCCTGATTTTGATGCTTTTGTAGTTATTTTTGTCTTAAGTTAAACAGTTCGGTGCATTCTACATCCTCAGTTACAAGGAATATTCTTCGTAAGAACCATCTTCTAGTCGCCCCCACCCTCGCTGGGTTGTGTGGACCACTATGCAAAATACTCTCACTGGCCCCTAACAATTAACGGTTTATTGAAAACTTCAGCTTTAAGTGAATATATAATTTATTTTATAGTGGGTGGCAGGAGGCTGGTCTAATGCTCCTCTGAGGTGTGGAACAGGTGGAGTACAGCACCTCTAATGCTCCTCTGAGGTGTGGAACAGGTGGAGTACAGCACCTCGTTCATAGGTGGTGGTATCATGGAGGGCCTCAGGTGGTGTCGCAGTAACTCGTTCACTGTCACTTGAAGTTGTGGGACATCACAGTTAGCTGTGAAGGACTAGCTTAACACTTGTCACGTGGTCGGCAGATGTTGTTTCTCACGTATGGAGGGAAGTATCCTGGGCTGTGGAGGTCAATTGTGGCCACGACCCTCGGCTGTTACTGTTCATCACTGGTTCCACTCTTTTCCGAAACGATATTGTCACTTTTGTCATTGGTTTCTTGGCGGTAGTTTGTTGACATATCTCGGTGGAGAGGAAGGGTAGAGGGGAAGGGAGTCGGGAAGGGAGACAAAATTTTTGGCCCAGGTAGTTGCTGAGTAGCGCCAGATACTGTACGATAGTCAGGAGTCTCAGGACAAGTGTGTGTGTGTGTGTGTGTGTGTGTGTGTGTGATGAATTGAGTGTTGTCATACGTCACTTTGTGTTTTTTACCTTACAAGGTGTTATATGATTACCATTGTTGTTTTCTGTGTTGGTCTACAGGAATAAATCACTTTCATCAGGTAGGTGTTAAAGGAAGGAGGTGTCCACAAGCTGACCCCAGACAGGCCCGTATATAGCTCGTAATACTAAAAACAAATCTATTTATAACGAATTTTTATTATTTATTTTTTTCATATAATACAACATAATTACACATCCACACTCATTGAAATAGTATACTCTGGATCATGGAGGCGATGAGTCTTCCCCACAGGTCCGGGTGTTTCATCTCGAGGAGTTCCATAGAGCGGGTCATGTCTTGTTGTTCTTGCGGGGTGCAGAGTGTAAGAGGACAGGTTCCCAAGTTCCTCATCGTAGCCATAGCGCGTACTGCAACACCACAATAAAACTGAGACCGCTTTTTAACACTTTAGCTTAACAATATGTCAGTACTACTCATATCACCACTTACCATCTCACCTCATCACCACTTACCACCTCATTTCACCACTTACCATCTCACTTCATCACCGAGGCATCACTTAACAACCTCACCTCACCACTACCATTTAGCATCTCACCACATCACCACTTTACTTGCTTTATAAGTGTTTAGGCATCAGTGGGGATGTAAATCTAAGCTAAGGAAACCACGTTACTACACACACACACACACACATTCACTTATCGATTATCAGCTTCACATAACAATAATTGACTAACATCCACTATGTGTTGACAAGTGACTAACGTAAACTATGACGCTGTTTATTACTATGTGCAAGACAACGTTAAAATTTGTCAATAAATAGTATATGTTTTATAAAGTTTAATCGACAAGAACAGTGTTGTGTAGAAGTACAGTGAAGGTAAACAAAGGTGGTATAGGATTGACCCTTAATATCTCTCTCTCTCTCTCTCTCTCTCTCTCTCTCTCTCTCTCTCTCATCAACTGAACGTAAACACAGGTGCCAGGACTCACCCTTGATCGCCTTCTCCTCCTCATTACATGTCTTTTTGTTCAAGAAACAATCGATGATGGCCTCTACGGTGGCTCTGTCGCTAAAAGCGTTCTCCAGACTCTGTTTTCTAGGTGTCTTAGCTGGTAGTGCCTCACTCGCGCCCACTACCACCACCACCACCACCACCATCATCATTGCTATAGTTGTTGTCGTCTGCATCTTGGTGGTTATATACCGTACCTGGAAAGATAATATGTACAATTTACCAGTTACAAGAGAAACATATCTGCAGTCATTCCATACTCACGAGAGACATACCTACATACATATACACAGTCATTAAATATTCACGACACACATACAGTCATTCAACACTTACAGGAGACACACACAGTCAATCACCAGTCACAGATATTGAACCCTGTCAAGTGTTGTTGTCAGAGTCACACCACACCCCTTGACCTTCAGCAACCCAGCTATTTTTGTCCAGTTAATTTAGTAACAGTCGCTTTATGACCTTGTGAGACCAAGTGAGAGGCTGTAGTGAAGGTTAATGAGCGAGGTAACCCACGTCACGCTACCAACAGTTAAGTTAGCCCGTCACCAGCACAAGTCATATCACCGGTACATGTATGTTGGCACTCACCAGTACAACCACCCCCCCCCCACACACACACACAAACACATACTACAACTACTACTTTGCTGTCACTCGGAATCGAGTATGACGATCATCCAGCTATGACACAATGATATGAGTTATTATTATTAGGGATGTCACCTTCATTGGTGAGTTCTGAGGTGACTAAAGAGGCCGATACGGGACCGTCAGAGTTGTTCACAGACGTTACACATGTGGAGGGCTACATCGAGTGCGGGAGGGGCGGTGGCAGCTTCTTTCCGGCTTTGGCGCTTGTCTGCCTCGGTATGCAGTCGGGCTAACTCGAAAGTATTGATACCTTCTCGTGTGGTGCTCCTCCAAGCGTTACGGTGTGGAGTAATCGTCTCCCAAGTGAGGGGGTTGATTTGGCACTTTTTCAGGTTTGTCTTAAGACTATCCTTATGCCTTTTCAGTTGCCCGCCGGCGTTAGGTTTACTATTCGTTAGGTGACTGTAAAGTAGCTGCTTTGGCAGTCTACTGTCGTTCATACGAGTAACCTGGCCAGTCCAGCGTAGTTGTCCATGGATAATGGTAGCCTCGATGCTCCTACAGTTGGTGTCAGCAAGAATACTGACATTTGTTCTCTTGTCTTCCCAGCAAACTCGGAGGGTGGAACGTAGACTACGCTGGTGAAAGTTTTCAAGTGCCCTGAGGTGCCTCCTATATGTGACCCATGTCTCGCTGCCATATAGCAGAGTGGCGAGGGCCACTGCTCGATATACATGCAACTTTGTAGATAATTTCAGCTCCCTACAGCTGAAGACACGGTTTCGGAGTCTGCCAAAGGCTTGAGATGCACATCTGATCCGATGCTGAATCTCCTCATCGATGTCTGCAGTGGTGGACATGTGGGAGCCGAGATACCGAAAGTGGGTAACATTAGAGAGGTGGTAGTACCTTTAAGCTGGATGGATGGTGGAGGTGTGTCTTGAAAGATAATCTGAGTCTTACGTACATTCACCTCAAGGCCGAATTGTGCATACACATCTGCGTAGGTGTTCAGGATCTCCTGTAGGTCGCGTTCAGTTTGAGCAACAAGAGTGAAATCGTCTTCATACTGCCAACACCTTTGTTCTGGACTGGAGTCATCTTATGTTGAAAAGACCTTTCATCCTGTACTCGATGTCCACCCTGCCGACTAAATTGGCACTGGCACGAGTAAGGAAGACAGCCAAGAAAATGAAAAAGAGTTGGTGCCAGTACACACCCTTGTTTAACCCCCGTTTGGATGGGGAAGAACTCAGACTGGGTGACATTGTGCAGGACACTGTCGTTCATGCCATCATGGAGTTGTCTCACAAAGGCAATGAATTTTAAGGGGCAGCCAAAACGGCTGAGGGTCCACCAGAGGGCTTTCCTGTTGACTGAGTTGAAGGTCTTGGTGAGGTCGATGAAAGCCATGTACAGGTCACGACGCTGTTCCCTGCACACTTCCTGTAACTGGCGGGCATCAAAGATCTTGTCAGTGGTCCCACGTGATGGTGTAAAGCCACATTGAGATTCTGGGAGGAAGTTTTCCCCCTCAGGAAGAAGTCTGTTTTGGAGGACTCGGGCAATAATCTTGCCAGCTACGGACAGCAGCGAGATCCCGCTGTAGTTGCCACAGTTTGACCGGCCCCCCATGTTCTTATAAATATTGACGATGGAGGCGTCTTTAAGAGCTTGGGGATTTCTTCCTCTTCCCATATATTCTCCAGGAGAGAGTGGAGACGGCTGGTAAACAGAGGTCCCCCTGCTTCATATACCTCGGCTGGGATTCCACCAGGCCCTGAGGCTTTGTTATTTTTCATCTGTTTGATGGCAGTAGCTACTTCATCCAGGGATGGAGGATAGTTGAGGTGGGTCAGCTGTGGAGGCTGAGGGACATGCTAGGTAGTCAGGATATCCACATCAGTATTTCGGTTGAGCAGTGAATGGTAGTGCTCTTTCCAGCGCTGAAGGAGGCCTTCATCGTCTTTAATTATGGAGTTACAGTCGGATGAGTAAAAGGGGGCTGCGCCTTGAGTGATTGGCCCATAAAATGTTTTGGTGGAATTGAAAAATTCGCGCATCTTGTGCTGATCTGCATTTTTTGGTGTTTCACATGCTTTATTTTTAAACCAATCATATTTCAGATTGCGAAGTTCCCGCTGGGTCACAGCTTTCTTCTTGCAGAAGGTATCAGCTTTGGTCCGAGACTGAGGGTTGTTCTGCCAGTCAGTTACAGCAGCATGTTTATAATTGATGAGTACATTGATTGCCGGGTCATTTTCATCAAACCAGTCCTGGTGTATTCTTTAGATTTGGCCGAGGGTCTCTGCAGGTTTTTGCCATGACGGTGTTGAGACTATTCCATTCGGCACTGGGATTTGGGTTGTTCGTTGTCGGGTTGTTTATCAACCCATGTTCGAGCTGCTCTCTGAAAGCATGTGCTACCAGTGGATCCTCCAGACACTTAGTGTTAAAACCTCTTCGAGAGACTTGCTGCCTTCGCCTCACGCCTTTTTGGGGCGATGTGAAGTGAGAGCTTGGCTCTGACGAGCCGATGATCAGTGTCGCAGTGATCTGAGCCACGCACGGCACGGGTGATGAGGAAATCTCGGCGATCTCTTTCTCCAACAATGACACACACACACACACCACAAACTATGAAAATAACCTCGAAATTGGTTCACACTCGTGTCTTCTCTAAATGTGTGTGTGTGTGTATGTGTGTGCGTGTGGTGGTGGGGGCCTAGACTCACTCCATACCTAAGTATTCAGACCTAACCTCAGCCTTCCACTGTGTACAATAGCAATGTTAACTGACACCTTACTAGGTTAATGGATGGCGTTGGTGTCAAGCATGTGATAATAAATGAAACTCTTTATCTCAATCAGAAGAGTGTGGGTTAAGTGAGACATAAAGTAAGTATAAGTTAAGTACTGCTAATTCTCTGTCATCCTAGGAGTATATAAGTATCTTCATTATAAGTGGGTTATATGAAGCTCTACCTGTAATAATATATACGTGGAGATATACTTTCACCTCCACGACAAAAAATATAAAACGAGCAAAACTTTATCCATATAATGAGTAAAATTGTCTACTAAACACTCACACCACAACTGTTTTATTATGTACAGGGAAATAGTGTCAAGACTTTGTATCCTCGTCTCACTGGTCACCCTAAATCGTTAGACGGATTTAGATACAGTACCTTAGAATACAGCAGTTTGAAGTCGTAACAAGTGGTGAGATGGTTGGATATTTTTTCTCTGCAGCAGCTGGAGATGTAGTGAAGGTGAACCAGGAACGCTGCCTTTATATATATGAGGTCAGGCCAACCCGAGTGAAGGCCAGGGTGCAGCGGCCGCTAGTGGCTACCTCCTCTAACGTGCCCCGCCCCGCCCCGCCCCGCCCCGCCCCGCCCCGCCCCTCTTCCCTCTCTCCGACATATGTTCCCCGCCTGTATATACTGTCAGTCGTGTTCAAAGTCACCCCTCACCAGCATTAGATTCTTACTGCTAAATGTCCCCCTTTCATAAAATCTTCCTGCATCTCTCATGTTGTTTTGCTGTCCTTATAATTCAGGACGGTTCAGAGTCTCAGTTCTTGTTGAAACCCGATGTAGAGACGACTACAATGTTCATATTAGTCTGTTCTGTCTCTCTGTTCATCGTGTCTCCACCCAGCTCCCTTAAATTACCAAAATATCACCTCCATCCACCAAGCTTGTCAAAATATCACGTCTAAACTCACTTTTGGTCACACACCCGCGGTCACACGAAACACCACAAATGTCATTTATAACACCATCACTTAACCAATTACCAAGAATAAACAATAAACAGACTCCCCCTTCTGACCAACAACATCGTTTCCCTAAGTCATTTTCCATGTCAGTTCAACGCTTCTCTTGACATGCTGTGACATAAAGCATCTCTATACGTTCTGCTAAAATACTCGGAAAGTCCTACTAACTCGTCTGCCTTTCTCCCTTTTAATTGTTACCTGTTTGTGGAAGTCATGTTGGTGTGTGTCACTTCTCTTGAGTCTACATGAAGAACATTCAGTTGGAAGTTGTACTGTGTTTTACTTGCGAGTTTCCTCTCACTCCCAGCTTTCTTTCACTCCCTGCCCGCTGTTGTGTATCATCTCCCACCTCTCAGAGCCAATATCCCAGAGCTCAAGTTAAGATCAATACCTCACACCTACCTAAAGTCATACACTCTATCACCTACAGTATATCACTTTCTGTCGTCAACACCTCGCTCAACCCGTCATACAATTTAATCTCGCTATTTGTGACGGTGGACCTCCCTGCACACGCTTTTTCTTAATCATATAATTACCTTCTTCTTCAATGCTGGTGTGAGAAACCTTGTGTCGTGAACGTCAGTCATTATTCGAATATCGAGCACAACGTCGATTGCATTACTAGATGTGCCGCTGCTCTTAAGTGCATCTCATTTTGCAATTAAAAAGAACAGGCGATTTGTAAATGATGGTCTAAGGTCATCAAACCACTTAATAAATAAATAAATGTAAAGTAAAAGGATGAAAATAGTAAATATCCAGCGCCGGAGACTTACCCGGTGCAGTGGATTTCAGTAAGTCCTATAGTGTTGCAGAACACATCACACCACAACCCGCCAGCTGTTTCACACACACACACACACACTCAGAATAGTGAAAACTCGCGAAGAATTATTAATACAGGAAACGATGGGACCAAGCGGAGAACAGGTAGAGAAGTGAGGAGACTACAGTGCGCCGTGCGCCAGTTGGGCTGTCTCACTCATTTTTCTTTTCAATAACAAGTTCCTCCAGGTGTTGCAACATCACTCACACAACAGGCATCATCAGCAACAGTGTCTTGGTTTGTTTATCTCCCGCTTTGCAGGATTCAATGACGACTTTCAGAATGGTTGTTTGTGGAGACAACCCTGACCACTATTATTCTAGATTCATTTAATATCTAGGTCTGGCCTGACCATCGACGTCTGGTTATCTTGGACGGAGAGTTAGCGCTCTACAGTGTCCAAAGTAGTTTTCAGTTCCCAGTTTTCAGACTGGAAACAGAAGTTGAGACAGTTGTGAACAAAATGAAAAATAATAAAGCTTGTGGGGTTGATCAGCTTCCAACAGAATTGATAAAACAAATGGGCAAAAATGTGATAAATTATTTGACTAAAATAATTAATTCTATAAACTTCAAAGGAGACATTCCCAGTGATTATCCAAAAATCAATATTTGTATGATTACCTAAAAAGCCAGGAGTTTTAGAGTGCACCCAGTTTAGAACAATAAGCTTAATAAGTCATTCCGGCAAAATGAGGTGGTGGTGGTGTTAGGAGTAAGTATTGTGGTGTGCTGTAGTGGTGATATGAATGATAATGTTTTAGGGCGTGGTTGACTGCACTGTCACCACAAACACTCTCTCTCGGTAAAAACAGCATTTTTAAGAACCCAACTGTTCCATTTTCTAAGATAAAAATCAGAATTCCAAGGCTCATCGTCTCGGATCGACTCGAAACACGATCGGTCGAGGGAGTTGGCGAACTGTGAGAAGTTGAACTGTTGTATGGAAGGGCATATATGGGTTAATTCACATGGGGAATAGTGTTTGGGGTTAACACGCCCTCACCATGATAGACAAAGAGATGAAGCAGCCCTCACCATAGTAGATAGAGATGATTTAGCCCTCGTCATAGTAAACAGGAACTAGTCAGTACCACTACACACGCAACAGTTCTACGCAATGCCGGTAATGTGGTATATAAGCGAGTCACCCACTCCACAAAGCAGGTTGGCGGTTCAGGCGGCGGTCGCGGTTAGGAGGGCGTACGCGCTCCATAACCGTTTTTTTTTTTTTTTTTTTAAATCCTACCTATTCCGGTTGAGTAAGTAGCAGAGGAATTTCAGCACTCCCCACTGCCAGGTGGTCGTAGAGTGGTTCCTGAGCTTCTCTCCCGGAGCCCCGTTGGGGAAGCCTACTTCCTAGTGTATGTGACTGCTCACTTATAGACGTGAGCTAAGTGTGCCTATTTGGGAAGGATAAGGATTGCTACCCTCTTTCCAGGTGGACCCGCACGATCACGGTTTTCCTGGAAAGACTCGGCTGGGATGGGTTTTGCTCCAACCCCCTTTCGTGTTCACAATTTCCTGGGAGGGAGGTGAACAGTTACAGGGGGGACCGCAGGACGAATACACTTTTTGAGGGTGCAGGTCCCTAGGCCAGAGCGAAAAAGGAAAAATAGCAGTAGAAGGAAAAGAGCTCAAACCACGTCGGGAATATCGCGCTATAACTGCTCTCCAGCTGGAGTGTGGGTCACTCACACCACCAGTGGGGAGGGCAAGCTAAGGCTCGATAAACCGAGAACGCTCGTGAGTTTTTGTCGACGATGTCAGTCGTGGGTGGTCCGGTCCGGGAAGATGGCCAACAATGGCACAAGAGAGAGGGCGGTCTTCACAGTTCCGGGTCCAGCAGGAGGTCTTGTTGAGAGGTCTTCTTAGTTCAGGAGCGATGTGTGAAGTGAGGAGAAACTCACCTTCAAGCCGCAACTCGAGTATCTCAGGCACAGGATGAAGAGCACTAGAGCAGACACAATATAATGAGGTCGCTCACCAGCAAATCCGCAGGAGCAAACCTTCATGTGCTCAAAGCCTACTACACGGCCGCCATCAGATCGCTGGTAGATTACAGTGCTCCAGCACTCATTGGACTGAGAGAAGACCAAATAGCTAAGCTAGAAGTCATCCAAAATAATGCTCTCAGGACCATGCTCGGAGCACCCATGTGGACCAGAATTTGCAATTTGCAAATGGAAACCGAACTACCACCCCTGGCAGTACGAGTCAAGCAGGTGACAGCCGGTCTCCTCGCCAAAATCTGTAGATCAGATAAGCCCACAGTTGCCAAAATTCGAATCAGTGCCTCCCTCCACCTCGACCACAGAGTGCGAGGGGCCACCTGGTCGCACGAGGCAAGCGAGGTCATCCGACACCTGCAAGCAGAAACACTCGTCAAGAACAACCAAGACACACGAGACAATGGTTACGTTGTTCCTCCACCATGGAGCCCTCCACCAGCCACATTCAAAATTACCGACCTAGGCGATAGTAAAGCCAACCTCCAGAAGGAGGACCTCAAAAAAATAACTCTCGAAGCCATAGCCACCGAGACACCGGCTGATGCATCATCATACTTCACAGACGGCTCTGTGGACCCAAAACATCATAGATCCGGAGCGGCCTTCTACACTCAAGGTCAGACCCTCCGATGGAAACTTTCCAATGACTGCTCCACCCTACAAACAGAGCTGGTAGCAATCTCAAAGGCTCTACAACACGCTGCAACACAACACAACAAGTCCATCATAATTCACACGGACTCGAAATCGGCCATGCAGGCGCTGCAACACAGTCAACCAAGAGACAACGTCCACATCATTACCTCGATCCTCGCACAGCTACAGGAATTCCAAAGCCAAAACCGCCCAGTCGTCTTACACTGGATTCCCAGTCATGTAGGGATCGGAGGAAACGACGTGGCAGACGAAGCAGCCAAGGCAGCTACACGTTCTAGTAGCGTACACATCCAAGTTCCAGCAAGCGTGCAACAGATCAAGAATCACCTCAGAAAGACTAGCAAGCTCCACATCAAAAAGAGCTTCCTTCACGCATTCAACGCTGGTTCCCAATCAGCCAAATGGTACCTGGCGGCCACAAAAGGGGAACCACCTTTCGCTGACAAGAAAACTCCAAGACAAACCCAAGTCAGCCTTTATCGACTACGACTAGGGTACAAGTGCTCCTGGCAGATGATCGGAAATGACGTCATGGAATGCACCTACTGTCAGGAGCCAGCAGCCAACCCACTTGAACACTATCTCCTCGACTGCGAGGTCACACAAAGCCTCCGAAACAGAACTCAAATCTCCCAAGAAACACACACAACACCAGCGGCCACTCTAACCCGAAAGGCCCATACAGACCACATTCACCACCTACTCCGGGTCATCACACGATACCCACCACCCAGATAGCTTAGAAAGTATCCTCTCCCAGCAAGTGCGGACCCCAGTTCGGGGGGCGCGCCACTCCGAAACTGACCACGTCCAAGAGTGGGGGTTGGTGGTAAGCGTCCACTGATCGGGGGTCCGCTCACACTTGCAACCTGCAGTATCCTTCCAATCTGCAGGTGGGACCACCTCCAATCCCAATCCGGTCTGGCTGCTCCTGGAGCTCCAGCCGGAACCACCAAACGGGCCGCCTATAGGCAAAGGCCCGTGTCGGACTACGGTCCGACAATCTCAACAACAACAACATCCACAAAGCATGTCCTTGCC